GTCTGCCTAATGCATGTACAGATGAGTGTGTACAAGCTCTGGGTGGCCACCTCCTGGATGTTTTCAGATTCTGTCCTGTGGTCAGAAGATGGCAACCTGAGTGGAAGGAGCAAGGCTTCCTACCCCATGAAATGGGTTCGTTGGATAGCACAGCTAATGCCCGCACAGCTAACAAAGGGGAAATGCCCAACATCCACTGACGGACTTGGAAGCCATTTGGAGCAGACTTAAGCACAGCTAAGCTCATGTCTGATGCTTGCCTCAGATCTGTGGTCAGGTATCTGTGTCCAATAAAGGTTAGACTAGATCACCAAGTCAGAATTCAGGACTAGGCAAATCAAATCACACGCTGAGGAGTAGCTACAGGCAGACAAGTTTTCCCGGGTTAGATTTTGGAAACCAATCAATATCCATTCCTAACTATAGTATTTCAACGTTTCAACTATTATTCTTTTAGTAAGAAACACTGATAAGACTTAAGGAGCTCTGGTAACATAGTGGTTGCAAATCAGGCTGCGAACCTCAAGGTCAGCAGTTCGAAACTACCAGCTGTTCCGCGGGAGAAAGATGAGGCTTTCTGCTCTCGTAAAGATTTACAGCCTCGGAAACCCTGTTCTGGGTCGCTATTGGTTGGAACCGACTCGATGGCACTTAACAACAACTGATGAGACTTAAGAGCCTATGCCAAAGCAGGTGAAATAAAGAAACAACAAATGGTATCTTGGTTTGAACATTTTATTGGGTAAATGATTTTAAAGGTAATAACAATAGTGTCAAAACTACTACAATATCTTTCCACAGCCATACCTTACAGACCCATATAAACCTTCCCATATATTTTTTTTCCTTTTGCTAATTTTAAAAAATATTTTAAAGCCATACATATCATATAAAATGCCCGTTTCCAATAGTTTCTTCAAACTATTAAGCAATTGAACGTGGAAGGGAGGAGGATCTAGTTAGACTGAAAGAGGTTTCGGGTCATCTGTGATGTAGTATTGTAATCAAACAGGTTACTAAGAAACACGGGAAAGAAGAGCTACTCCAGGTAGCTGGTTTGCTCTTTACAAGTCTCACCATTACATCACCAAGAACTCATTATGCTGGTGACTGATTCAAAGTAATGTCAGGGAACATATAAAACGCTAAAATAACTTAGAAACTAGATCCAAATATTTCAAAAGGAATCGATTTTGATATACAAAAACAGTCAGAGGTGGTTACAAAAGTTTGTTTTCTCAGTGCGTCTATGTCCCAGCACAGTTACTGGGTCCAGAGCAAAATAAAAAGGTTGATTTTCTTTTGAAACAGTAATACAAAACAAAGAAAAACATATCTTTGTATATAAAGGATCAATGCTGGTCTTAAGAATAATGTAAGCAGAAACCCTTAAATCGAGAGGCACACAATGGGTTTCTGCTTTTACAAAATAAAAAGGAAAGTCACCAGTTTATTTAAATGGAGGAGGTGCTCACACCCCTTCAATAAACTTAATTCTTTTGAACATCACTAGCAAAAATCACTTAGAAACTGTACAAAAATAAAAAAGTGAACACATTGACTCCTGCCAGGTTTGTGGAAGGACTGGAAGGCAGGCTTTGGGAGCAGCATTTGGGCATGGCTGGGGGCTTCTTTGGTTTGATCTAACACACATAAGAGATGGAGCCCATTCTGGATGACAGTTTCCAATTTCCTGCACATTTGAAGACAAGAAAAGAGGCCAGTATACAGACTTCCAGTGTGCTGGGCATTAGGGGACTAGATGCACTGGATTGAAAATCCTGGAACTGACTTCCTCCGTGAGTTATACTGCCCTCACCAGGGAGGGGGATCTGGAGAGGGTAGTAGCACATTCTCGTGCAGTCAGAAGGCCACTTGAAGGAGGAGGGGAAAACAATTGTTCTTTTCGAATCTGGTACCTGGCTGACCTTGTTAAGAATAAGAAAACCCTTCCAGAAATGGAAGCCTTTTGCTACATACCAAAGTAAAATACATACTATTTTCCAAGAGGAAAAATACACAGTTGCATTTGAAAATGAAAAACTCAACTGGAACTAAAGAACATTTAAAAGGGGGCAATGTAAACTTTGTGCTACTCAAATGAAGTTCAAGTATTACTTCCGAGCTGTTTAAAGATCACTGAACTTAGACAATATTCTGGTGATACGAGTGCAATTCACATTTGTGTTTCTGAACAAATAAACCACAACTGGCTAGAACACAACCTGTGCAATTAGAATATTCGTCTGAGTTAAAAACACATGCTACATACTTCAACATGTTCAAAGTTAATTCAAACCACATATTTAACAGCTTTGTAATAGACAACAGAGGTGAAAGGGTCTAACATTTGTTTGAAGCACACCATAACAGTTTGTATAACACCCTTTACACTACAAAATCTTTTAGTCAACAGCTATTTAGAGACAAAAATGCACTGTGCATTAATTTGAATAAAAAAGGAGACAAAACTATCCCTTTCCCCCAAGCCATGGTGGGAAATATTGCTGACCTCGTCCTTCGAAGCCTGCAGGATGGTTATTTCTTCAGTATAACATTATTACACTGGTAAGAAAAATCTGTATAACATCTGCATATATCAAGAATTTTAAAAAATCTGATATGATTTTAGAGTCCGCATGACCAGTCATATGACCTGCTCAAGATTGAATAGCACCTTTTAATACATAAACACACACACATGTATGTATGTATGTATGTGTAAGTATACATATATATACACACACACACATATACACACACATATGTATGTAATAGATCTTTTCTTTTTTAAAAAAACACAAAACAACAACTTCTAACCATAAGCTCACTCGTGACAGGAGCCTGTTGAACTGATGAGATGATGGATAAGATGAATTTCACAAAATATTGGTCTATTTTGTCTCTCTTCAGTTTACTTGTTTACTTTTTTTTTTTTTTTGCAGCAGACATTATCATTGAACTTGTGCTCAGTTTCCCTATAAGGGCAAGAAGATGTTTCCATCAGGTAGCCAACTGTTTCCACACTGAACGACTAACCTGCTCCCAAATGTTCCCAAGTAGAAATGAAAGGACTCAAAATCCTTTTCTAAAGCCCAACAGCTAGGTTGTTCTGAATAAGCTCTAGGTTCAATGGAACTGGCTACCAAGATTGCATTTCAGGCTAACAATTGGCTTCTTAGTTAAGGCATCAGAACTGAAAATGGTTAGTTCAACAATGGATGCTGTGGATGAAGGAACACCAACAACCTTCTAAGAACTCTCATCAAAAACGAAAGCAGCTTGCGTGGCCACATTGGCAAGCAGAAGAAAATCAGCCAATGATGTCACAAACTAGGAAAGGATTCTGGAATTCTCAACTCACAGTCTGTCGTCGTCACTTGTCCCAGCAGCTATACGCACAACCCATACCATTTCAATATTCAGTGGCATTTCTTATAGTTTTAGAAAATATACGAGGGGGCTTCAAAAAGTTTGTGGAAAAATTCCATTACCTTGTAATTCCATTTTTCCATGAACTTTTTGAAACTCCCCTCGTATTCTGCACCATATGTATAGTCATCAATTGGTTTCCTGTTTGAAAAAAGAACAAAACTTATACATACACATACATATATACACACATATGTGTATGAGTAGGTATATTTAGTAACATAAGATGAAGGCAAGCTTTCTCCAGAATCTGTCATTTTCCTGGGGACGTATGGTCTTCCGAATGACGTCAGAAAGTTCTCCTTGTATGTCTCATGAGAAGATTAGCCCTGCAAATGCGCAGGGCCCGAACTAGTAGCATAGCCGACTACGTGCCAATGCCATTACTCCTTTTTGGCAGGTGTGATGAGAACATCAACATAGTAAATGTGTTTCTACCCAAAGTATGTAGTGCAGAAAGTGATTCAAGCTAGTCCATATTCTAAAATTCCAGTATTGTCCCCATGACAAGAATATCTGAAATCATGGCATACATGAACTTCTGTCTCACTGGATTATCATTACCATTTCTTTCAATGGTAGCTAAAATCGTCTCTGGCCAATCATGACTTATTGAAACCTAAAGCTAACAAATTTAAATTAATATATAATAAACAAATGTCTCTTTTTGGTTTTTTGCTCAAAATATTTTCTTTTTCAGTTTAAAAAAATACTTTAGAGTATGGATTTTGTCTAATCTGTTGCTTCGTATATAGTAACAATAAAACATTATAAGAATATTTCTCTAAATTGCCTTTTTTTCCTATCCCACCCCTTAATTCCACTTAATTATACCCTTTCTCAAAGGCACTAAATTCTATTATCAGCTCTCTTCTTAATATTCACTGCTCTTCAAAGTGATTTCTGTAGCATTTTTGAAAGGTAGTTTGTACTTTCTGAAAACAGTGTTTCTGTTTCTAATTGATACAAAGTGATGAGGCAGTCTCTCCTAGGAGAACAGCACAGCAGGCACATAGGATTTCTTACTCTCTGTGACAAACCTTCTCCTAGACCTCTGAATGTGAGAGACTAGAATGGATGTTCATGTATTGTAGCCATGGGAAAACTTATACTTAGGGAATGAAGACCCACATACTAAGTTCTAACAAGAAGGTGAATTTTAGACAAATTCAAAAATACAAATACCTGACATTTGATATGAGTTACTCTCAAACCCAACTATCAAAAAACAAAACAAAACAAAAAACAAACCAAAAACTGAACTATTAAAAAAAAAAAATTCCACTAACTGAGAAAAACCTACTTGAAATCCTTAAAACCTACACACTTTCTTCCATCCACAGTTGAAGGAAGGAAGGGAGGGAGGAAAGACAAGAAAGAAAGACAAAAAGAGAAAGACAGAAACTTGAAGTAGAAAGGAAAACCAAATTCTATGTAACATTGAAAGGAAATAAAACACCAAAAGTTATATATGCTGCAAAAAAAAAAAAATCAAAATAACGAAACAGGATCTTTTTACAAATGCCATTTTCCTACCCGTTACCATGATGATTCTGACTCTGTCAAAACTTCATCATGGTAACGGAAACTATCATCATAAAATGGTACAGTAAAAAAGATAGCTAGACCAAGAAGGGGCAGGGTCTCCTGGGAAGAGGTCTGCAGAGAGGCCCAGTGACTGGCTGTGTGGCTCAGTGTCAGGAATAATGGTTGTATGGTGGAAGGGGATGCCCAATGCCATTTTGGAAATGGTGATGCTGGCGATGAGCAAGGTATTCAGCATAGCTCAGGGTCATCTTTTCACTACGGTACCTGAAAGAAAGTCAGGGAAGAGATAAAATCAACATCAGGAAAGACGCAGTTGACATGCCAGCATCAGAGTTAGGAGGGACCTTGTCACTCCCTTCCAAGGAGCAGCTGGTAGATTGGAACTGCCGACGTTATGGTTCACAGTCCAATACTGATCCTACAGCGCCACACCAGGAGGGAAACGTAGAGATCATTTTATAGTTGGGAAAACAGAAGTCCAGAGGGAAGTAGTGACTTGCCCAATGTCACATAGGTAAATTAGTGGCAAAGCTAGCATGAGAACCGAGTAATTCAAACTCTCAGTCCAATGCGCTTTCCATGTTTAATTTGTTCTTCTGAAAAATCCAGAGATTTCACTTGTCCTGCAAGATATGTTATGTCCCCTTACCCCGGCTTGCTGACAGGAAGGAACAGAGGAAACCCCACCTGTTACCATGTGTACTCATCACCATTCACTTGAATCTTCCATCTGTCCTTTCCCTCTGTGCACACATCTACTTAGGTCTCCCATTAAGGAAAAAGCACAAAATTGCTTCTTAATCCTGGTGCCCTTGAACCTTGTCTGTTTCCCATCTGGAGCCTTTTCACTGCTACATTTCTCAAGAGAATGCATTTTCCTACCTTCAAATCCTCAGCTCACACTCTCCACCAGCCAGCCCAGTGCTGCTTGGCTCCTGCTGCCATTCTTCCACAGAAACCATCCTGCTCCCCACTCCCTTCTGGATGTTCTCTTGTCCCTGGGTGCTACACCACCACACTCTCCTGGTCCTCCCCCTACTCCTCAGACTACTAACCTGTAAGGAACTCCTTCCTCATTGTACCCCTGCTCTTCTGAATTGCTGTTCTGTCCTCGACAGAGCACCTTCCGTCATAGCTGCAGCTATGACCTATTTACAGGTGATTCCGAACCCACCATCTCAACTATGAGCTCTACACACGTACATTTTCAATGACCTACTAGACATTTCTATGTAGCTATCCCAGGAAGCTCTGGTAGCGTAGTGGTTACAAATCGGGCTGCTAATCTCATGGTCAGCAGTTCGAAACCACCAGCTTTTCCACAGGAGAAAGATGAGGCTTTCTGCTCCCGTAAAGATTTACAGCTGTGGAAACCCTGTACTGGGTCGCTATGAGTTGGAACCAACTCCACGGCACATAACAACAACATCCCAGGAAGCACTTAAAAATCCTAGTGAATGCATGAACATTACTCTCCTCCTGTGGGCCCTAACTTAGTCAATATCATTATCATGGTCTCTTTTATTGAGATTAAAGCCTCAAAAGTCATCTATCTTTGATTTGTTTCTCTTCCCAACTTCTAAATAATGACAGTTGTTGTTGTTGTTAAGTGCCGTCGAGTCGGTTTCAACCCACAGCTGGTAGTTTCGAACTGCTGACCTTACGGTTCACAGCCCGAGTCGTAAACACTACTCTACCAGAGCTGCCTTAATGACTAAGTATTTTCATTTCCTTCACAGTACTTCCATAACAGGTTGTTCCTTTCTTCCCATCCTACTGCCCACTGTCATATCTTTTGAACTGCCGTGATAGGTTCTTAAATAATAGCAATGTCTCCTAACTAATTTTTCCATTTTGAATTCCAAGGCTGTATCTCTCCAAATCTACTCAGGTCCAATCTGCTTAGTCTGAAATTCTAGATACTCTACCCTATCTTTTGGACTGACTGCTTTCTATATACAAGGGGACTTCAAAAATGTTCCATTATCTTTTGATTTCATGTTTTGATGAACTTTTGGAAGCCCCCTCCTAAATACACTGAAAGGCCAGACAATCCAGTCTAATATTCCTCAACTGATTTGCCTAGACTCACGAGGTCCTCTTTAAGGGAATCCCTTTATTCCTCCTCTTTCCTTCCACCCTTCAACTATTCTATCCATTTTTCAGCCTCAGCCTGAAATCCAACTCCTCTTTGAAACCTGTTATCTCCTAATCCTTCCAAGAATTTTTCCTTGCTTCATGATCTGACACCACCCATCACAATCTATCTTGTATTGCAGGTTTTTGTACCTGCCCTTCTAGCCCCCTAGACAGGGCAAACAGAAATGGAGGCATTTTCAAATTTGTAACCTCTCAGAGCTTAGAATGGTCCATTTTTAGACTGTAAGCATTCAATGCAGTTTTATGGAATTGTAATAAATGGAAATGGCAACCTGTTTTCTTAAAATGTGTAGTATTTCCCTTTCAAACAAGTAGCCCCTATTATCCTTTGTTGATGTTGTTATGTGCCGTGGAGTCGGTTCCGACTCATAGTGACCCTGTACAGAGTTTCCGAGGCTTTACAGGAGCAGAAAGCCTCATCTTTCTCCCGCAGAGCACCTGGTACTTTCGAACTGCCAACCTTGAGGTTGTAACCACTACGCAACCTAGAGCGCCTATTATCCTAAGCTGACATTTATTTAGCATTTGTATGTTTAGCCCAATTGTGGTTATCAACACACTTTTATGGTAGACTTCTACCACTGCCAAATTCTAAGGTTAAATTCATATTTGAGGACTGTTTAACAGAAGAATCCTTGGTTCAGCTCTGCAATGTCAAAAGCTAGTCAGTAGTAAAGTCAGTTACTGTCTCCCATCATGGCATCTAAAGTCTCAGAGGGCTTGCTGTACAAAGCCAGAGGAAACACACAGAGCTAACATGGGAAGATGGGCTCATACATCTTACAGGCTTTACTGCCAAGCAGAGTCCCCACTGTATCCACCCTCAGTTGGGCCCTGCCATTCATTTCCACTCTGTTTCAGAAAACAGAAGCAAGTATCGTTAGAGAGATCAAAGAAAATCAAAAGGTTACAGGCATATACATTCTGGTTAAGCCTTGCACTAGGAAATGCCTTCTATACCTGGTCAGTTTTATGGTTTTCCTGAATTCATTAGTAATCGGAGCTTTGTATCCTCCTTTCCTCAATAAGGAGTCTATGGTCTGAATGTGGTCCCATCCTGTAAAGAGTCAAACAGATAACATATCAGTCAAGCACATGTAACAAGCACCTTTGGTTAAATACAAAGTGAGTTTGTAGAGGTCAGCTATCACTGTCACCAAATTCCAACTCCTTTGTTCCCCAAAATAATCACACAGAAGAGCTAATATTTCATCTTGTACATAAGCAAGTTCACCCCAAACACCTTAAATTCTAGCTATCTAAGATGTCTAGCAACATTGGCTTTATTATTTCAACCATATTTGAAGGCAAATAGTCTAAGAACCTGGCAGAAACTGCTCAGTCATGTTTCTGTAACAAACCAAACACTGTTCTCTAACAGTGACATCTTTTAAAAGGAGGGAAGAGTCTAAATGTCATTATACCAACTCAATAGTATTCAGGACTCCCAGACTAACTCATGGCAATTTCTGTTCCTAATGTTATCTTCTGTAGCCAACCAAGTGTACTCTGTGTAATGCTTAATGGCATTTGTATTGGTTCTAACATAGATGGCAATAGTGGTTGTGTGCTGTGGAGTCAGTTCCAACTCAGAGCAATCATGTGCAGGGTCTCTGAGGCTGAACAAAGATAGTATACTGATTACTGAGATCTGAGGTGCTCTGTCTCTCCCGTGTGCTTTATGAAGTCAGTGATACTGCAGAATTCAGTATTTTCTAAAGCAACCCAAAATAAATTTCCAGGTAGCTTCCTTAAAGCCTAACACACTATTTTGGAGTTTAATGAGGTTAAATTTTGTTGTTATATAGCTCACAGTGATGTGAAACAAACATGAAAAAAACAAATTACAGACACTTTCTGATGAGAAAAAGAAGTCCATAAGATAAAAAAGAAATATTAATTTCAACTCATATGAAACTAGAATTTAGAAATGGCCAGAAAGGACAAAATACTAAAAAGGAAAAAGGTTTTATGCACTACAGTGTTGCTTCACACAGACTTAGGCTATCTTTGTGGATGAGGAACTGCAGACCAAGCATGTCAGATACTAGCAGTGCATGTATTCTCAATGGCCCTAATCTTAATGGGAAACTTACATTCTGAATATTAGTAGAATGAGTAAGAGAAACCACCTAAGAATGAAACATATGGATGCTGACAATGACACTGAACTATTGGGCTGACTATCAAACACATGGCTTGCTTATGTCAGGTGTGCTGTGTGGAATATGGGAAAATGGCACCTCAAAGTAGTAGCCAATTGTTGCTTAAAATGAAACCCACCTTTTATACATATTTACTTTTTTAAAGTATACTTTTATGTTTCTACTGTCAACGTCGGTGTAATTCACCAGCTTGATATATTGACACTGCAGTGGCAGTGAGGGAAGCGTCCCTGCTTATCATTTAACACTGACCATTCATCAGAACTGCAAGGTCGGATTGTTAAGTGCTGTCGAGTCGGTTCCGACCCATAGCGACCCTGTACAGAGTTTCCGAGGGTGTAAATCTTTACGGGAGTAGAAAGCCTCATCTTTCTCCGGCGGAGCGGCTGGTAGTTTCGAACTGCTGACCTTAAGGTTCACAGCCCAATTCGTAACCACTACACTACCAGAGAATTTGTATATTTATTCAAAGTGTTCACCAGATCATATGAAATAAAGTACAATGACCTTGTTCCTTTGCAACCTCTGGTAGGTAGGTGGCGGTGCGTTTTGATCCTTTTTCATTGATGAATTCTATTCTAATGCCATGTACACCCACCTGAAAGAAATTGGCAGTTTGATTAGTACAGTCTTCTTCATAGAAACACAAAGACAAGGTTATAATTTAACTTGCAAGAGAGTGCAGTTCTTCCTTTCCCTTGTGTTTGGAAGGGCAGAGCAATGTTCTTTTCCCAGCACTTTGACTTTGGACTGTGAAGGCCATTATGATGGCCACAGAGACAGAAATGTGGATTTGCAGGTGCCCAACGCATGTTGGCCAATGCTATTCTGTTTGAAACCAGGACAACCAAATGGGACTGTATAGAATAAGATGCTTGGTGGCAAGACTCTTGGTCCCACTCCCAATTATGGCTCTTGACAATTAGGAACTAGACAAAGGAAACGGACTTAAAAGAGACAGCAAACCACTATCATAACTGCAAGTACAACACCACTTCAGAATGATCTCTCCAAAACTGTCTAAGAAACATGTTGCCATTCATGTATTTTGACTCAACGAGGCCCTATAGAGTAGCGTAGAAATGCCCCACAGTGTTTCCAAGGCTGAAGTCTTTATGTAAGCAAACTGTCATAAAGAGTGGCTGCTGAATTCAAACCACTGACCTTTCAGTTAGCAGCAAGCATTTAACCACAGCACCAACAGGGCATGTTCCCCAAACTGTCTAGTCCTTTTCAAACCTTGCAGTTAAGCAAACATGGTCACATAATACCAGGCTGGGCGGGGTGGGCGGGGGAGATCCTATAACATCCTCTATTACAGACAGTATTTCTTAAAAAAAAAATATAAGTGAGCCAGTGGCAACCTCTCATTGTCCATCTGTATCACTGTCTACACACAGTATTGCTAAACTGAAGAGCAATAAAGATTTCAAATTACTTTGGGGCAGGGCATATTTGCAGTTTCTCTAGATACCAGTCCAGATACTTGTTTATGTGAAGCAAACTCTAGTAAAATTCTAAAAAAGATAGTTTCCTAATTAAGTGTGGGTGCACTTAGAATTAATTAGTATATGCAATTGTTATATATATAACAATGGTGTGCCACTGTAGGATAAACTCGGGACTGCTAACCTCAAGGTCGGTGGTTCAAACCCGCCAGCCGCTCTTTGGAAACCCTATACAGGGTCGCTATGAGTCACAACTGATTCGATGGCACTTAACAACATTTAAAAGAAATACACACTTTTCTTCGATTCACATAGAATCTAAAGGAATTTGATTTCCTCCCTAATATTTCATGTAAAATAATGTATAGACCTGAAGATCATAAAAAAATTCTCAACTTCTTAGTAAACACTGATATTAAAAATGAAATTTCAAAAGCTTGAACAGCTCCATTCCATTCTCCCAAATTAGGGTTGTTCTCAATCCATGGTTCCCAAGTGGAGTATAAGACCTTCCACAGAACTGAAGGCAAGCTGTAAGACCCTGTAAACATGTTTCCCCAGGAATGAGGATTCTTTTCCAAGCCAGTGAGTGGAGTCATAGACATGCATTTTATCTATCAGTGGGGATAGAAAGATTTAGGTCTCATAGAGGGGAAGGCGAAGTCAATGAAAATCTCTTTTGCTTCTGCTGCAACCCTGAACATTTTCAGTTTTTACAGGAAAAAAATTCTCCGGAAATCCATTTTGTTCTTTCTCCCTGGTCTTCATCCATCCATTACAGCCTGTCACATCTTCTCAACAGTTTTGTCTCTAATTAAAGCACGCCTCTGTGCTGATTTCCTCTATCTATTTAATATCAGTATACTTAGGGATTTTCTGCTGAAAATACAACTAGGGCAACTGTTTCAAAAGGAATACAGCAAGGCTTCCTGTTCCTTGTGGGGAAGGACTATGGACAGCTGAGAAGAAATCTGAGTGCTTAGCTATCAGGTGTTTCTAGGAGAAAAGACGTCTTCTAATCTCTTTGGTGACTGACATAGTCCTTAGACAATGACTAATTTGCAATGGTTTCTGTGAACTGAATATCTATCTGATCAATGACTCTGACATTTTTCTCTTTCAACAATATCAGATTCTTCGTAATTTGTTTTTTAAAATATCCAGCATAAATAATGTATGTTCTCATCATTCACTGCAGTGAATTTTGAATCTTCAACTCTATTCATCAAAAATCTGTCATGTTAAAATTGAAAAGAATATCTGATGTTTACTAAGGTGTCTAAATCAAAATTTGGAGAGGAGGAATGCTTCCGTATCTATGAGATGAGTCTTACACTAAATCAGTGATGCTCAACTGGCAGGAGCTGGCAGGGGAGGGGGCGAGCAAGGTTTTTCAGAACTTCAGCAGGTTTCATGCTTCACCAAGTCTAATTTTGAAAAAACAAAAAACAAAATTTTTTTAAAAAACAACTCTCTTGGTGATTTTTATTCCAGGGGAACCTGTTAATCTCCAATAGCCAAACTAGCTCTGACAAATTGTGAGTATGTATTATAGGGAAAAAAATGATTTAGATAAATACAGGGGAGGCAATTTAAATACATTGGTCCTTTCTTCATTAGACAGTCATGATGTGTTCCTCAACAAAGCTTTCATCGGTTCTAAAGCCTACTAGTTTAACATTTAAAGCAATTAAGATCAGTTGTATACTATACAAATGATACTTCAATAAAATGTTATATTACACGACTCCTTACTTATTGATAATGATTAGGTTCCAAAGACCAGGTTTTTGTGCAAAACTGGCATTATGGAAAAACCAAGGATGACCACATCAGATCACAAAGGAGGACTGTGTAACTGCCAATGTACATCACTGTACATAGCTGCCAAACCACCGAGGATCATGGCTCAGCCAAGTTGACACATAACCTTAACCAGAACAGCCTCAGACCTCACCATTCATTACTGCCAGAGGTACACAGTTAATGCACAAAATCATGAGGCATTTTGACTATTGTCATAAATACAAAATGTGGGATAATGAGATAGTCTATAAGTAAGGAGGAGTCCTGGTATGGTGCTGTAGGATAAGCACTGGACTGCTAACTGTAAGGTCAGCAGTTCAGACCCACCAGCTGTTCCTCAGAAACCCTACACAGGGTCACTGTGAGTTGGAGCCAACTTGACAGCACTTAACAACAATAACAGCATAAGTAAGGAGTTGTTGTTAAGTGCTGTTGAGTTGATTCTGACCCATAGCGACCCTGTATAGGGTTTCCAAAGAGCAGCTGGTGAGCTTGAACTACCAACCTTGCAGTTCCAACAGCTTTACAGTGTGGTGCATTAATCCACAGCACCACACCAGGACTCCAAGTAAGGAGTAAGTGTATTCAAAAGTAAAATAGGTTAAGACCAAAAATAAAGAACATGCTGACCAAAATAAGAATGATTAATCAAATACTGCTTTATTTCTGTATTTTGAGAAGGCCCCACCATCACATTTGATAATGAAAAAAAATACCATTAAAATTCTCTCCTTTAGAGTTACTGCCAAATTATAGCATTGTTTTCTGGTTTCCTATGATTCTGAGCAATTGAAGGCCCACCCCTATAGATTGAACTGTACATATGGTGATTTTTAAAGTGAATTCTTTGTAAGAACTAACTTCTTTGATAGGCCAAAGATATTCTTCACAAAGACATAAAGCCCAAACTCGAATGACTCATTTTTCAACTATTAGAATCAGGAGAATGAGAATACTATTAATAGACTCAGAGCGCAATACCTTTTTGTCATCTATTGAGCAAAACAGTATTTTCCTTATGCCCAGGATCACAGACGCAATCACACAGTCATACTGCGTAACCAAATTTGTTGTTGTTAAGTACCATCGAGTCAGTTCTGACTCATAGTGACCCTGTATAGGGTTTCAGAGGAGTTACTGGTGAGCTTGAACCGTCAACCATGCTGTTCAAACTGACCTTGCAGTCCAGTGCATTAACCCGCAGCACCACAGACCATTAACCCGCAGCACCACACACCTGACGCTGAGAACGACCAATTCTGGCCAACCTGTGTCAGCTCTGCTTTAAATAAGCACCCCAACTAATTTCATACTGTTTCAGGGAGGTGCTTATCATAGCTGCAACTCCAAAATGTAACCCACATGCATCATACTTGAATCTTCCCTTCGGTAGAATGGAAAATACCTCAGCCCAGCAACATCCCAAGAAACAAAACTGGAGTCCTGGTATGGTGCTGTGGGATAAAGCACTGGACCCCAAGGTCAGTTTGAACCACAAGGTCAGTGGTTCAAACTCGCCAGCCCCTCCTTGGAAACCCTATATAAGGTTGCTATGAATCAGAAATGACTAGATGGTACTTAACAACAAGAAGCAGGAAACTGGGATTCCCCAAAGTAAACTGTACTTTAAAACTCTACCTTAGTAATTTTCTGTTTCTAGGGATAGACAAGGAGATAGGATATGAGCAAATTATGTCACCAAATGTACCCCTAATTAATCCTACCACTGCTCAAAATATAGACAGTTGAGTAAAAACTGGAAACATGCAAATCTGGCCTTATGGGACTCTGCAGGTCATTTTCGGAGGGGAAAAAATAATGCTTTCAAGGTCCATCAGCTGTGATAATATCCTTTTAATCAAGACTGTTCTTATGCTAAGCAAAGTTGTAAATCCCTTTGAATGGTAATAAATTAAATATAGGACCTGTAGATAAGAGGATATGGAATTACACAGAGCTGAATCTGTGTGGGCTGAGCGAACACCGTGGCCAGTTCAACAGATTCGTAGTTCAAGCTAAAAAGACAGCCATATTTACTCTGACCTGTTCCATAGCAATTGACTCTTATTAATGCTATTGTAGAATCATTTTAAAAATATTGCTCAAAATGATTAAATATCAAGATTAATATTAAGACCCTAAAAGAGATCTTGATTAATTTGGGTTGATTATTTCTGTTTGGTGATTATTTCTGTGTCCATGCATCCCCAACTCCACCTGGCATTAGCCCTATCCTCTTTCTTCTCTTGTCTATTTCTCTAATTTCTCACTTCTCTTGTCAGAGAGCATGTGGGCACAGAGAAGAGATACACGCAAATTAATCAATTTTGCATCATAGTAAAAG